AAGAGGTTGACATTAATGCAATACATTAATGGTCTAATCTCCAGCCCTTATTCAAATTTTGACAATTGTCAAAATTCAAGAAACCCAGTTGTTTTTAATAAATTAATCGTGATCCTTCAAAGCAACCCACAATTCTTAAATTTGTGAAACCCTGCATCTAGGAAAATGTTTTCCTTTGATTTCACAAGTCGGTTTTGTAAAGTAAATCTATAAACATTTTGAACTTTGTCCATACACCAAACACTCTGGCCAAACCAACATAGTCCATGCTTGGAAGAAAATCAAATTAGAACGGTCTTTATCTAATGTAGGAGATTCATTGCACAAGCTGCCCCATCCCCGGAGCCTTCAGGAAGTCACTCACACATAAATAATGCCACCTGTGAAAGGCCTGTGGAAATGGAGACAGAAGTTAAACCATCTCAGACATAATTAACTCTAAATGAGCTGAGTGAACTCTTGGAATAACTGCCCATTTATAAATCACACTAGTTTTTCTGCCCTCCAGTCGTAACGCAAGCTTCCTAAGCCAGCAATGAAGAAAATCGAGCTCTGCTACAGCTCAAAAGAGAATACGGTAGCTTATCAACAGAAGTGTACCTTAGTCTACCCATGACGTATGTGCCAAAAGTCAGAAGCTCAGCGTTCCAAACACACCCTCTCAGGAAAAACTCACTGAAACTAGTCTGGGCAAGAACGCTACTCAATCAGAAGCTTCACTAACTCGAAAATAGGTGAACACATAGAGTGATAGCATGACACAGAAATCTCTCTTAACACTGTTTCCATAAATTTTTAATTAAATCTGGTTTGGAATTGACAAAAATACACTCCCCCGTCCCATAGTTATTGGAAGAGGACATTACAGGAACATTCTGGGGTACTGGTCATGTTCTATTTCTGGATCTAGATGAGAGGCATACGGGTAAGTTCACTTTGGAAAAATGCATGATGTCGCACATTTATCAATGTACACTCTTGTCTATGTATGTTATACTTTTAGTTCCCTACCCGATTATTGAAAAATTGGGTGGGAGGGGCTTACCGTCCCAGCACCAACCACTGGTAGTGCTGTCCTTTCCCTGGCATGAGAAGCTCCTCTGGGGGGCTCAGGCCTTGGCTAGGAAGACAGGCCTACATCCTTCCCTATTCCCTACCACCCCCAACCTCCTTCCTGACCTGTAAGAGTGACTGACCTGACTGAATAAGAGACCAAGGTAAGGCAGTTACAATAACCAACCCACGTGTGGGCCGGGGAGTGAGAGGGACCAGCGCCACTGTGATTAAAGAACAACAGAAATAAACATTCACGCCAGGGGAGAGGGAACGGCCCATGCACAGGCAATCACTTAAAAACTAGAATGATCTTTGTATCATCCTAACAAGCCGTACCAAGAATGGAGCCCAGAAACAGACCACTGATCTCCGTCTCACTCTCCTTTAATTCGTTAATCACTACATATATTATTATGTTAATTACCGCACCAACTACATAGCCACGCAACCGCACAGATTTCCACGCCACTTTATGCCGCCTTTTCTCACCATAATTAGGCTGTTAACACTGCAAGGCTGAGCTCTACATACACCACGTCCAAACCGTTCCCTGGGGCATTAGTCGAGTTACAATGTCCAGGACATAAATTAGGCAACTTGGCTATACTTATTTCACAGTG